GGGGAGGGGAGGGGGAGGGAAGAAGAAGAAGCAGTGTATAGTCCTTTAGAGCTGCTTCAGCAAGGAGTCGATCTGCGAGGGTGAAGAATGGACAATATCAAGCAAGAAGGGTCAATACAAAAAAAAAGCCATCTATAATGTATGTTGTACGCTCCCCCCACCCCTTTCACCCCTTTCACCACTCTCCGACGTATCTCGGTCACTGGTCAATATGTAGATACAAGTCTGCAGATACCGTCAATAGATTCCAAAAAAAAAAGAGTGTTCATATCCAACAAGGCGCTGGAAGGAGTTCAAGAATATCATGAGGGGGTTTTTTTTTGTAACTGTATAGTCCGCGCGGTACTCGTATAGAAAAAAGAAGGTGGAGGTGGACTTGTGCTACAACTCGATCGAATAGATGGGTCGGGCAATACTCGTACTAGGTCTCGGAAAAGTCGGAAACGGAAGAAGGGAGAAGGGAGAAAGGAAGAAAGGAGGAAAGGAGGAAAGGAGGAAGGGAAGCGTCGTAAACAGAAAAGAATGCTATGCGTCGTACAGAGTGTTGAAATCATTAGACGAAAGAAATCTCGAAACAGAGAACTAGAGAACTAGAGAACTAGAAAACTAGAGAACTAGAGGCTCGAGGGCCGGGAGTTTAGGTTTAGAGTAAAGTGGCGGCACCGATGACGGCGCCGACAAGCCCCACCACCCCGGCCAGAACCACCCCCTCAACGCGCCTCCCCCTCCCAGCAGCGCTAGCGCTGGACGAAGAGCCAGAGCCGGAAGCCGAAGCAGCCGCCCCCGAATCCCCCCCTCCACTCCCATTCGACCCACTGTCCGAGGCTTCCGCCCCGCTCGCCGCAGAGGAGCCTGACCCCGCGGCGGTGGTGGTAGGACTCGAGGTCGAAATACCACTCGGCGCCTCTTGCGACGTGGTACCGATGGAAGAAGGAGCGACGGTGGAACCAGAGACGAGCAGGGAGGGTGTGGCGGTGACTGCATAGTTGGCGGTGTCGATACCGTTTGAGATGGTGGGGTAGGTTACGCAGTTGGATGTCGCGGGATAGCTTTTCGCAAACGTCAGCCCTTTCCCTCTCAAAAAAAAAGACAAAAAAAAAGACAAAAGAAGAAGACTCACAAAGCAACACTGCTGGGCGTAACAGTCTGCCCCACAGTAAACATCCCCGTCTCTTCAGCGTTCGACCAGGTACCAGTGTAGCGTTGACGGAAAGTGGAGGTGGAGCCGTTGGAGAGGGGGTAGAGGCCGGGAGGGGCGGCGGGCTCGCCTTCGCAGGAGGAGAACGAGTTGTTTGTTGCGTAAAAGTCCCTAGCCTCACGTCAGCTTAAAGGATCAGGAGAAGGAGAAGGAGAAGGAGAAGGGGGGACGTACTCGATGGCCATGACGAATCGACATCCCATCACATCAAGTTCATGCTCGCACTGCAGCGCCGCCGTGACATTGTTCGTCTCGGCCGTGCACACCCTCAAACAGAACTGGTCATACGAAATCTGCCCCTTGATCAGCTCTCCCCCCCCACCAAAACAAGAGAAGGGAAAGGGGACATACAAAAGACATCCACTCTTCATAAAACACATCCCTCCCTTCAACGTTGGACGTCGCATTCCCGCCGATGGGGTTTCCGAGGTTTTCGGCGCCGTGGGGGTCGAGCTCGCCGCCCTCGTCGCCTTGGTTGATGTTGACTTGTGTACCGTCCCAGACTGTGTACGAGAAGGGGGGACGGGGGTCAGTGCGGTGTAACACAAAGGGAGCGCCAAGAGGCGGGGCAACCACGCGGAAAGAAGGAGAATTGAACGTACAGCCCCATACTTGGACGTAAGTGTCCGTCTTGATAAACTATCCTCTTGTCAGCTACACCAGAAGAAAAAGAGGACGAAGAGAGAGCGTACATGAGCACCAGTGATAGCCCCATCCGGGATCAACCTCGCCCCATTCCTCGGCTTTGTACAGTACGCCACCACAATCGGCTCCACCGTCCCAATCTCGGTATCCACCCCGGTCCCCTTCTCCGGCGGACCCCACAAACAGAAATCGTCCACGCTATTGAGCGAGATCAAACGGCTCTCCGAGGTTTGGTTGACGTACGAGCCCAGGGGGTAGAACTCGGGGGCGTCGGGGTTGGTGGGGCCGTTTGGGTAGGAGGCTGTGACTTGGGCCAGGGTGGAGGGGAGGGTGGAGGGGAGGGCGAGGAGGAGGGGGAGGAGGGTGAGGAGGGTCATCTTGCGGGAGTGTACGCTGGGGGAAGGAATGGGAGGGGCGCATGGGGTTATATAGCGTTGTGGGCGCCAAGACATGGTGCTTGGCAGGGATCTGCTCATCCGTCAAACATCGGCGCCCCCTCCCGCCCCTCCCTTTTCATTAGCCCCTTGGCCTGTTCATTACAAACCCTTTCCAGTACAGTTCTAATCCTCCCCCCCACCAGTGTCGCGCTGGGACCAAACTCACATCACCATAGCAAGCCCGCCGGTCATCCACTTTACGTAAACCCTGCCGGCGAGGACACGCAACGTTAACTCGTTTCTGATAATCCTTTCCATCTCCCTCTCAATCCACCCAGCATGTCCCTCAGAATACCCCGCCTCCCCCGCCGCCCCCTCCCTCCCCCACCCATCCCCCGTTCCTTCCCCCGCCGCCCCTTCTCCACCCCTTCCCCCACCCCCTCGGCTCCCGGAGCTCCCGGACCAGAACCGACCTCCGCCTACGCCAAATTCAAAGCCCTCTCCAAGAAATACGGCTCCTACGCCATCGGCATGTACTTCTTCCTCTCCTCCCTCGACTTTTCCGCCTCCTTCTTGCTCGTACACGCCGTCGGCGCTGAAAGGATTGAACCTTTTCTAGACGAGGGCAAGGCGTGGTATCGCTCCAAACGATATGGGGAGGAGAAGGCTTTGCGGCTGAAAGCTGAGGATGAAAGGTCGAGAGAGGAGGAAGCTCGTGAAGCCAAGAAGGATGGGAAGGTGGAGAAGAACAAGTGGTTCGGACGTACCTTCTGGGCAGAGGTTATACTGGCGTATACGATCCACAAAACGCTGCTTCTCCCTTTCAGAGCGGGCTTGACAGTGGCGTGGACACCAAAGTTTGTCGGGTGGTTGACGAAACAAGGTTGGGTTGGGAAGGTACGTTTCCCCTCTTCTTCCTCTTTTCTCTGGATCCGGGGAAGAGAGAGAGAGCTGATGGAGATGTAGGGCGGATTGACAAGGGCCGCGACGCATGCCCAAGGCAAAGTCAAGAATGCTAGTGTAAAAGTCAAAGACCGCGTCAAGAGGCAGCCCTAGACACCCCTCGCTTCCCCTTCCTCTTCATCTTCTCCCACGCATCATCCGCCCCCCCGAGGGACGCAGCCTCATGTCGTTCATGTCGTTCTGAAGGGGGGGGGGGGGGGGGGGGGGGCGAAAGATTATGGAGGGGTGGAGGGGAATAATCAAAGCATAGCATAGAAATCGCAAAAAGCAAAGCAGAAAGTGCAAAAAACATGAAACAATGGTTGCTCTCAGTTCTCCCGTCTTGTCTTTCGCCATCGTTTCTTTGTTCGAGATCTCAATATCTCCGGGCCGATCTAGGTCATACCACCCCCCCCCTCTTCTCGTCTTTTCAGGTAGTTGGAATACGTCAAAACGTCAAAAGATCCAAGACGAACACGATACATGCTATTACAGATAAACCGCTCTCAAGAAAACCTTCCCCACCTCACCCTCCCCACCTGAACACCCCATCACAAGAAGAAGAAGGATAATCAGGAAAAGAAGAAGAAGAAGGAGAAGATTAATCTACATCAACCTCTCACACCCCGGACAACTCCAAACACACTGCCTCACTTCCAACCCCGCCACCCCACCCCACTTTGTTTCCCATTCCCTCACCATCCTCACTATCCTGTCCTCCCCTTCCCCCCCTTCCCCGCCTGCCCCGGACGATGTAGCAGGGGGCGAAGGAAGAGGCGAAGGGAGAGAAAGCGCAGCAGAAGCAGAAGCAGAAGCAGAAGCAGAAGCAGAAGCTGAAGCAGAGGAAGGGGGCGAAAGGGCAGCTTGATGCACGATCCATCTCGCCGACAGTATCTTGCGCGCATTCCCCCCGGTGCCATACCCCTTGCCTCTAACGATCACACCCTCAGCAGCAGCAAGCACCTCTTCCCCAAGCCTCATATCCACCCCCCCTTCTTTCTCCCCATCCCCTTCTTCTTCAACCAGACTCCTCCCCCTGCCCTTCGCCCGAGCTTCAGAATGGAGGAAAAGAGACGCTTTCAACCCGACTTCCAAGAGGGTTTGAGAGACGGTAGGGGACGGCAGGGTATCGGCTGGGAGACCTTCTGCTTGGGGGTTGCGGTTTGCCCAGGACCACGCTGGGGTGAGGGCGCGGCGGAGGGCTGTTTGGGAAGTCCTTATCTCTGGCGCCTGCGTTTGGGTTTGGGTCTGCGTCTGTGTCTGTCCCTGGCCAGTGACATTGCCGCGGCCGTGGCCGTTGATCCGGCTAGGCGAAGAAGAAACACTCAAAGCCGACATGGGCGGCACAGGCGCACCCGCAGGCGTACTCTCAACCATATACGCCGCCAGCGCCAGCCCCGACGCGCGGATGTAGGCCAAAGAGGAAGGGGTGAGGTAAGGTAGACGGTGGTCGTGCCCTCGGCCGGTCCAGTCCAGGCAGCCGAGGTGGAACCATCTCAGACAGCCTTGCTTTTTATCAGCTCCAATATCCAACAAGAAGGTTGGGGGGGGGGACGTACCGGGGTTGGGACAAAGCGCCATGAGTTCTGGTTTCGTGGCGATGGGGAGGTAGGGGTCGCCGCAGTAGCACGATGTTGGTTGATACGACTACTTCCCATCAGCTCTCTCCACCTACATATGATAGATGACTTGCGAAAAGATGCCTCGAAATATGCACTTCCTCGCTCCTCCCCCTCTTCCCCTTCCCACCCCTCCCACCCCCGCCCCCAGGCCGAGCCCCCGTCCCAGTACTCGCCCTCGGATGAAGCAGCTCCATCTCCATCTCATTCGGCATCCTCGCCTCATGCCTATACCAGATCGTCTCTTCATCAATCTCTTGATCTTCCGGCGGGATCGGGTTGGACTCGTCGAATAGGACGACGGGGACGCGGCCTTCGACGGTGCCGACTGGTTGGATGGCGTCGTATTCTGGGCCGAGCATAAAGATTTCCCGGCCGGCGGGTTTCGATCGCGGTCTTTCCTTGTCATTAGCGAGTGGAAGAAGAAGAGGAAGAAGGGGAGGGGGGACGTACAAGCCGGTTTTGACATCTTGCTCTTTCAACTCGTTGATATTCCTGCACATCCACCTTATCTTCCTACTCTTTCATCAGCTCCGTCTTCTCCTTCAAAAGAAAGAGCACTCACATCCAAACATACGTATTCCCCTTGGCCCTCACTTCAATAATCCTCCCAATCCAATGCCCCGCCTTCCACATCTTATTCACCTCCCTCCTCTGCCTCTGCCTCTCCTCCTCCTCCGCGCTGACCAGGGCGCCAGGCGAACCTTCGCCTGGGACCGCACTGGGAGCGAGGCTGGCGGTACTTGCTTCGCGTTGAGATTGCGAGGGTGTGAGGGAAGGGCGTACGCGCTTTTGCACAGGGCGGGGCGATTCGGACGTGGGTCGGCATTTGTCATGGTGCATCCAAACACTACTCCCATATCAGCTCCCTCTCTCATCATATGGAAGAAGGGGGGAGGGGACGTACAATTCACCAATGGAATAAGGGGTATCCATAGGCACTACTCAATTACCGATCGTTGAGTCACGCGTCTCTCAATGGTTAAGAGGTGGGAGCTCACTGATGAATGATCTACGCACCGAGTCCGTCAGTCACACGTCTTTCTGATAGTTGTGATGGGGATACATACTTGTACTTTTTCATATCCTTGTACTCTTCCTCGGTACTACACACACAGCCCATGTCAGCTTGTGTCTCATGCCCAGAAGAGAGAGAGGGAGGGTACGTACGGAGGGACCCAGTCTTCATCATCGGACGCGCTCGCAGCTGCGATATGGTGCGCCATTGTTAGTGGGATGGGGTATACAGGGTGGTGGGGTATGTATGGGGGCAAGAAGAGATGTAAAAGCAAGAGGAGATACACGCGACGACGCGATCACATGTAAGAAGGCGCAACGCTTAAATTGATTTTGCAGGTTATTTTCTTTTCGCTCCGGCCGCCGCCGAATATTTCAGAGTCCTCTTCGTCTTTGTCATTTCTCGAGCGATTCGAGTGTTGTATAGATATCTATAATAGCCATGTCCTTCTCTAGAGTACCATCAATAAGCCCTCGCCACCATATTTCCTCGCTTTTCAGATGTTCCCCTCGCGCAAACGCTCGCCACAGCAACTCAAACTATAGACTTTCAATACGAAGACCCCACACTTCACATCCCAACGAGCTCATGAGCCTACTCCCCACCATGGAAGACTTGGGGCTGAGAGAAGGAGATCACGGTATGTCACTCACTTTTTGGGGCTCGGACTGAGCTGATCATAAGCAGTCACAGTAGGAATGTCCGGAGGGGTCGACTCTGCCACGACGCTTGGTATACTCAAAGACTTTGTAAGTGACCTCTAAGGCAAATCGGTCAACTTGAGCTGACCAGGCATAGCCCATACACCTCGACATCATATTCATGCGCAACTGGGATCCCCTCCTCTCCGAATCATCACCCGACTCCGACTCCCCTGCTCCCCAAATATCCCTCTCCTACACACCCCCCTCCTCCCCCTCCTCATCAACTCCCAAAACCCCAAACCTCTCTCCCTGCGAATGGCAACGCGACTACACCGACGTCCTCTCCGTCTCGTCCCACCTCGGCGTGCCCGAAGCTAAAGTCCGTTTTGTCGACCTGAGCAAGGAGTACTGGAGTCGGGTGTTTGAGCCTGCTGTGGGCGTTTGGGAGAGTGGGGGTACGCCGAATCCTGATGTCGATTGTAACAGGCAAGTCTCTCTCCTCATTACCCACCAGGGTGTAGGCTTATGAATGTTTTAGAGAGATCAAGTTCGGAGCTCTGCTCGACGTCTTGCCAAAGAACGACCGTCATTTCCTCGCAACCGGCCACTACGGCCGTATATCCCACTTCCCATCCTCCCCATCACGTCTACTCCGAGCCGCCGACACGTCCAAAGACCAGACTTACTACCTTTCCCAAATGACCGAATACCAACTATCTCGCGTACGTCCCCTCTGCCCCTTGCCCCTGTCCCTCTTCCTTAGTGTCTTCCCTGACCCGGTGGTAGACGATATTACCTCTCGGCGGGTTATTGAAAAAAGACGTCAGAAGACTAGCACTACATTGGGATTTACCGAATGCGAAAAAGGCGGAGAGTATGGGCGTCTGCTTTATCGGCGAACGCGGTAAATTCGGGGACTTTATCTGTACGTCCCTTCCCCCTCTCCTCCTTCTATATCTCAACTAACTCCCAGAAGCACAATACACCTCCCCCCCACCCCCAGGCTTCTTCACAACCCCCTCCGGTACCCGTCTCTCCCAGCACAAAGGCCTCTGGCACTACACTATCGGGCAAAAAGCGCGCTTAGGAGGGCAGAAGGAGGTGCTGTTCGTTGCTAAGAAGGGGGTGGGGAGGGAGGGGGAGGATATTTTGGTTGTTCCTGCGTACGTCTCTCCTCCCTTCCCTCTCGTTGGATGAGACTTGTTGACTGATGACCTTGGGCGTGTAGGGGTCATCCGGCGTTACTTTGTTCTTCGGTACGCACGTCGTCGTTCATCTGGATCCATGGAGGCGAGGAGGCAAAAACGATCATCAAGGAAAGACCGGCGGGCGTGATGGTCCAAGTCAGACATCGGATGGAACCTACGCCGGCGAAGGTGGCATTTGGCGAGAACCTTTCAGAGTGCGTCTCCCTTTCTCTTTCTTCTCTTTTGTCTTTCATCTTTCAACACCCCTCCGTGTCTTGTTACCTTCTGCCCATCACCCCGCCGATTCGGTTCTATTTGGGAACCGGGCTGACCACTCTTCACAGTGTAAAGGTTATTTTCGATCCTCCGCTGGTAGGCGTCAGCCCAGGACAGGTGGTTGGGATTTGGCATGAGGGGTGGTGTCTCGGAAGCGGGGTCATCGAAAGTACCGAATGCGTTGACGAAAGTGTGAGCTCAAGCTAGGTGCTAGTGGGCAAAAAGTATCGCGCTATAGAGTGGTGCACACTCTTTATAATTGTGCCGATGTACATGAATCCCACAACTCATCTAGCACGAATGCATCCCAAAGCATCGCTTCCGGACCATCACCAACCTACTCTTCCTCCTGTATGGAAATGATCCCCGCATCTGTCTCCACCCTCCTCTCCAAATACGTCTTTGCCACGTCCGCCTTCCACTTTGTCTGCTGCACAAACTCGACATACGCCGCATCAAACGTCTCCCCCGTCATACTCTCTTCCACCTCAAACACCGGGTCCTCCTCAAACACATTCACAAACTCCCCCGAATCATCAAACACGCCCAGCTCGACCCCGTTAGCCGTCCTATAGACGTCCTTATACTCAGGCCACAAGCCCATCGAAGTGAGATTGCGTCTAGACACTTTGCCGACGACAAAGTCATCCAAATCAGGATCCTCCGTAATATCAAACCCACGCCGAACAGACTCCACCATACAGGCATGATCTTTGATCGTACAAGACCCATCATTAAAATGGATCTTGCTCACCAGCTCCCAAGTAGCGGGCTTACTTCCGCCTTTGTACGATCTCATAATGATAGCTCGGCCGGTGGCGGAGGATGGGGAAGGGGGCGCGAGGGTGCGCACGGGCTTTAGGTGGCGGGCGGAGAAGCAGGTGTGGCCACTCTCGCCTAAAGCGCTGGAAGGTTCAGAGGTGAGGCTGCTGGGGGGGTAGGACATTATTTCTGTTGGGGTTGAATCAGACATTTTTGCGGTGTAGTGTGCTTGTGTTTGTGAGAATGTCAGAGCAGAGCTGCAGTATTTATCTAGGGCTGCTGAGGGCGGACCCGTTCTCTCCTCCTTAAGCAATTCTTTCGGACTTTGGATATTTGTCACACGTAGTAATTCCCTGAAGTGGCATGGGCGCTGAGTTGTGTGGATGGTTGAAGGACGCGCGGTGTACTCAGACAAATGAGTCTGTATCCGACTGAGAGGCACATTCGCGTTTCGGGGACTCACAAAATCGCAAGCAGCTTGAAAGGACGTTGTATATCGGCGCTCTTGATTATCCGGATTCCCTTGATGTTGATTCCACACGTGAAACATTTTTCGAGAGGACTTGAATCCCTTGGCGGCACAGTTCCCTCCCTATTCAGTGGTGTGTATGTGCGAGGCTGACGAGCGCTGCTGCGCAGAGACGATGACTTTGCTTACTCTTCTTCCGCCGGGAGCAGCTCGCATCCTTGTACATTGTCAGCGCACGCTTCTTCGCCGTAGTTGATTGGCATTCCATTATCGTCAGCAGTGACAAATATAATGTGCACGCAACATCTCACGCTCACTAATCCACAAGCGGAGCGTTTGATGGTACTAGAGCACGCTTTGTCCCCCATCTCAGGACGTCATGGGGGTCGGTTATGCATCCCCCGGGTCTTGCGACGAGTTTCCAGCATGAAAAATAAAAATAAAAATATAAATGCAATACAGAACGATCGTGTCTTTCATCTGACCAGCTTTAACAACAATACACGAGGCCCAGCAGGGACCAAAAGGGGCCATCCAGCAGTGCTTACAGCAGGTTGATCACGGTGTGGATGAACTTCTTCTGGTAGATCAATACCACCGCGCCGCGACCCTATCTTCCCATTTCTCACCTCTCGAAACAGTGAAAACGAAAAGATACAGCATCCTTTTGAAGAGCCCTCACGGTGCCAGCTTCGATGTGTGAACACAAACACGAAAAGTGACAAGCGCACATCGCGTCTATAGTGAGAGCAGAACGATTGAACAAAAGAGCGTGTGTAGGTATTCTTCCCCTTTGTAGGCGAAGAACATTGATACAAAAGCCATCAGAATTTTGGTGATCTTGTGCATACCCAGCAAGATATTCGTAATGTCTAGTGAGAGAAACGGTAGTACCACAGGACAACTCGACGGGAGCGTCTCTCAGGGGTCGCAGTTCTTGGACGACGATAGAAAGTCCATCACATTCCTGTTTTCTGCGGAACAAACTGGTCACAGGACCGAAACTCGCCTGACTCTTTACGGGTCTTCCGCACCTCGAACTGCGTACTCACATTGGTGCTGTCAGTATGTTGGGCTTGCTAATAGTGGGCAAGAGGTATCGCCTGAGACGGCAATCGATATGGTCATTGCCCCAACCAACGCGACGAAGAAGGGAGTGGTCAAATCTCTGGTCGACCAGGGGGTGTTTGCCGAGAGGACAACAGACCAGCATAGAACGTATGACTTTCGGTATCGCGATGCGAATGGTCAGTGATAGCTTAGCAGCAGGAGTATATGTCGCGCCAATATAGCATGTAGCTGTCAAGGTACTCCGAGACGAGACGTAAATAAGAGCAGATAGTGGTAACGTAGAGGGATGATGTTGGAGGTTCTGGTTTATTCAGCTTGCCAGGTGATATGAGTCGAAGCGCTTTCTAATGAACCCCGCTTTGGTCATTATTGCCGATTGATGAAGCACCTCTATTCTCGTCGTCGTCCTGCTGGGAGTGCTGCGAGCGCGTAGAAAGCGGATCATGAGCTTGCGCAAGGCTTGAGCTTGACTTGAAAGGCATCCTCCCTGCGTCAACCATTCTGATCGTGCTACCGGCAGAGGCAGAAGGTCTACTACCTTTGCTGACCTGAACGTGTTCAGATTCGGCGTGTGCACGACCCGACTGGCCATTTGAGTCGCAGGTGGAAAGTCTACAAATGTATAGAGATCGGATTCCAACTGCTCTCGCGGTATACCTTCTCGTGCTGCCAACTCCGTAGCTATCTGTCGAGTTCTATCTATGTCCGTGTGAGAAAAGACACCGTCCTCGTCGGGATTCGTGTCAGTGTCATGTCGGTCAGATATTCTGGCTGAAGTATGTTTGTTGGGTCAAGTGATGAATATTCCAATGGTAGAATCAGGTTGAGCTATTATATATATGATATATTCAAGTAGGATCTCCGCCTGTATTCGTCATTGGTAAAAGCTTTCACCGTCGTGAACGTCTTCTAAAAGAGACATCCCTTATGTCTTCACGGATCGGGATCAGTGATTAAGAGGCAGTCTAAAGGATGGTATATGTAGAGGATGATCAAGGGGTCGCCATGACTCTTTTATGTCCGTTTGAATGCGATTTGTGAACAAAGGTCAGGTAGAATCAACTTTTATAGCTTTCATATAGCAGCTGAGGTTACAGTGCCACTTCGGAATCATATGCAAGTATGTATCGGCACCTTGGGAATGTCGCTGATCATCTCTCTCGGCTCTGGGCAGCATCTTCTTCCACCGAGGCACCTCTGTGTACCAGATTAAATGTTGACTGCCCCGTCCTCCAGAACTCATCAAGCCCTATCGATATCCAGCCCGATACTGCATCTCTCCTGTCCTGATCCAGATCACCCGCATAAAGCGTGATGGCGTCATCTATACTGATCCTGTTCCATAGCCTATCACGACCCCCGCTATTCACTTGGTCTTGCATCCACCTGGCGTAAGACGCGCCTTGAGGGGACGTGTTGGTGCAGAGGATTACGGCACTTTTTCCGGCAATCCCGGTCTGTTCTGTTGTGAACATAAACCCCAGCATCGTGGGGTGAGTTGCGGAATTACTTGCTGGACCAATATCATAGGTAGGGGGCGTGCTCTCGTCATCTCCTACAGAGTCCTCATCCTCCGGAATCGCGGTCGAAGGAGTATTGGCATTTTCGGCTTCCACCCAGTTGTCAATCACGTTCTCTTCGATATCGTTTGGGTCGACGGAAGGAGGGACGGATGATGCTCCTCGGGACTCGGCCGAATGGCCTTCTGAGGCATTTCGCCGATTCTGGATCGTTCTGATGTAAACATCGACGAACTCTCTGCATCGATTCAAAGGGTTGTTGGCATCCTGATTGTTAGATTGGGACATATCTGCTATTGTTGCTGGACTCGTATGTGTTATTACTTGATAGATGGCGTTTCTTTGAGTGCCAGTCGGCTGCTTTATATATTTTTGCTTAGCTTCGCCTTCCTTCCATCGTTGATGAATAAACAGCACATAGCGGACAGCAAGCACCTTTATCTCCAAAAATCACTCAAATGAAATAAATAGTCGGAGCTGCATCATCTCTGGCTTTACTCCTCTGTTCGATCGACAGAGCTAGCTGAAAGGCTCGTCGCCATACAGTGAGTCATCTTCCTCGAATTTTCACCCGCCGCCGCCCTAATATTGCATGCTTATCACTCATGGAAACAACCATTCTCGACTTGCCTTTCTACCAAACACCGAAAGACTCGGAGCAAGTATCCATTGATCCCGCGCTTTCTAATGAACGTCGCTTCGGTCATCATTGCTGACTGATGAAGCACCTCTATCCTTGTCGTCGTTCTGCTGGGAGTGCTGCGAGTGCGTAGAAAGCGGATCATGAGCTTGCGCAAGGCTTGAGCTTGACTTGAAAGGCATCCTCCCTGCGTCAACCATTCTGATCGTGCTACCGGCAGAGGCAGAAGGTCTACTACCTTTGCTGACCTGAACGTGTTCAGATTCGGCGTGTGCACCGACCCGACTGGCCATTTGAGTCGCAGGTGGAAAGTCTACAAATGTATAGAGATCGGATTCCAACTGCTCTCGCGGTATACCTTCTCGTGCTGCCAACTCCGTAGCTATCTGTCGAGTTCTATCTATGTCCGTGTGAGAAAAGACACCGTCCTCGTCGGGATTCGTGTCAGTGTCATTTCGATCAGACCTTCTGGCTGAAGTATGTTTGTTGGGTCAAGTGATGAATCTTCCAATGGTAAAATCAGGTGGAGCTATTATATATATGATATATTCAAGTAGGATCTCCGCCTGTATTCGTCATTGGTAAAAGCTTTCACCGTCGTGAACGTCTTCTAAAAGAGACATCCCTTATGTCTTCACGGATCGGGATCAGTGATTAAGAGGCAGTCTAAAGGATGGTATATGTAGAGGATGATCAAGGGGTCGCCATGACTCTTTTATGTCCGTTTGAATGCGATTTGTGAACAAAGGTCAGGTAGAATCAACTTTTATAGCTTTCATATAGCGGCTGAGGTTACAGTGCCACCTCGAAATCATATGCAAGTATGTATCGGCACCTTGGGAATGTCGCTGATCATCTCTCTCGGTTCTGGGCAGCATCTTCTTCCACCGAGGCACCTCTGTTTCCATAAGTAAACATGGACTGCCCTGTCCTCCAGAACTGATCAAGCCCTATCAACATCCAGCCCGATACTGCATCTCTCCTGTCCTCATCCAGATCACCCACATAGAGCGTGATGGCGTCATCCATACTGATCCTGTTCCATTGCCTATCGCGACCTCCGCTATCCACTTGGTCAAGCATCCACCTGGCGTAAGACGCGCCTTGAGGGGACGTGTTGGTGCAGAGGATTACGGCACTTTCTCCGGCAATCCCGGTCTGTTCTGTTGTGAACATAAACCCCAGCATCGAGGGGTGAGTTGCGGAATTACTTGCTGGACCAAAATCATAGGTAGGGGGCGTGTTCTCGTCATCTCCGACAAGATCCTCATCCTCCAGAATCACAGTTGAGGGAGTATTGGCATTTTCGGCATCCACCCAGTTGTCAATCACGTTCTCTTCAATATCGCTTGGGTCGAAAGTTTCCACAGGGCTCATGTCGACGGAAGGAGAGACGGATGATGCTCCTCGGGACTCGGCCGATTGGTCTTCTGAGGCATTTCGTCGATTCTGGATCGTTCTGATTTGACTATCGATGAAATCCCTGTATCGATTCAAACGGTTGTCAACATCCTGATTGTCAGATTCCGACATATCTGCTATTGTTGCTGACTCGTATGTGTTGTTACTGTGATAAATGGCCTATCTTTGAGTGCCAGTCGGTTGCTTTATATATTTTTGCTTAGCTTCGCCTTCCTTCCATCGTCGATGAAAGAAAAATAAATAGCGGACAGCAAGCATATCTCCACAAAGCACTCAAATGAAATAAATAGTCGGAGCTGCATCATCTCTGGCTTTACTCCTCTGTTCGATTGACCGAGCTAGCTGAAAGGTTCGTCACCATACAGTGAGTGATCTTCCTCGAAATTCCACCCGCCGCTGCCCTAGTATTGCATGCTTGTCGCTCACGGAAACAACCCTTCATCAACTTGTTTTTCTACCAAACACCGAAAGACTGGGAGCAAGTATCCATTGATCCCTGGACAGAACAAGATGAAGACAGCCGGATTAACCCCCATAGGTGTATCTCGCAAATGTAGTCATCATCTACAAGTTTGGTTCGTTCAGACGATATCTCAGTGTCCCGCATGTTAGAAGTGCATACTGCCGGGGTGAAATGTACCAAGTCAGCAATATCCATCGGTTGATACCATGGGTCAACCGGAAAGGCATCGCACTACTGTAATACGTGCACGACACGAGTATTCCTAAATTCCATAGATCCATTTCTTCATTCAAAAACATTTACTGTGACGCCACCCTGTTCGTGTACTCGTACTATCCTGTCTATAATGTTGTCGAACTCCAATAGTTACAAGAGACACTCTCAAACTACCTTCTTATCCTTAGGCGTATTCTCCCTGAACCAATCCTCCAAACTCAACAGCCCGGGGTGGATACGTCGAAGCTCGCCTACGTCCGCAGGCTTATACCCAGGGTCATCGGCCACTGCGCGCCTCCATCGGCACTATCCTTTTCACCTCCCATAACTAGAGAGAAAGAACTTGCAGGTAAACATTTGCTTGAAATCACACGGCATCCCACTCATCTGTCATCCACCTGACGTGCATCGTCCCATCTTTACAGAGTCGTCTTCGAACGGAGCCTTGGTGCGTGCACAACCTTTGTTCTGTACCATTCTGCGACCTGTAAAAGTTTCACTGTGATTTCGGAATGAGAATCGACGTCAAACACGATGCTGTTGATGAAAGGAACGAAGAATGACGATGTGACATGGATCAACGGAGTCCAGTACTTTACCTGTATCGACGCTCTATTACAATGCTATATATCTGCGGTCAGCGTACCTTCATTCCCAAATCTTTTCGCCACTTTCTTCTACGCCACCTCTGCATACATTCCAGTCCCATAATGGCTAGCGAGAATAACGACACAACCACGAGCTCACAATGGCCGCCGACGCTGGACAGCAAATCCATCACATTCTTCTTCTCCCCCGAACAGTCCGGAAACAGCTGGGCCACTCGACTCACCCTCTACGAATCTTCCACACCGGGATCTCAAGACCCCTCCAAGCAGTACAGTGGTCAGGTGGCCGAGACTGAAGAAGAGATACCCCCCAATACGGCGTTCGAGATGGAAGTTGCGCCGAGCAAGAGTAGGCATAGAAAAGTCATCAGGGCGTTGGTTAGTGAGGGGCTCAGTAATGGAGGGGGAAGTACGAGGCATGCTGTTTATGACTATCGTGATCGAGATGCCAATGGCAGATTACAAGAGGCTTGATTCGATGTATAATATCTGATTGCATTGTCATACCTTACGTCACTCTGCCCCGTTGTACATTCAATAAGTACTGCCTTGTACCTATCATCAACCAACATTCGATAGCAGTGTGCGTTCTATCCATGCGCGTTAGTGTGATTGGACAGGTAAAGGCAGCACTACCATATTCATGACTTCATTCAGTTACTATCGCGTACTTGCTCGTGTACTAATTCCTTTGCTTCATCCAGACTACTCCGAACCACCGCAAAAGAAGAGCTTCAAACCACCTTCTTAGCCTGAGGCGTATTCTCCCTGAACCAATCCTCCAGACTCAACAACCCGGGGTGGATACGTCGAAGCTCGCCTACGTCGGTAGGCTTGTATCCGGGGTCGTCAAAGACTGTTATCATTTATCAGCCTAATGCTTTTCGAAAAACATGGAGAGACACTTACAAGTAAACATCTGCTTGAAATCAAACGGCATCGCACTCCTAACCCACCTCGTCCCATACCTTGCAAACCACGGCGTATGCCCCTGCACCTTCTCAATTGCCCTCGTAAAGTCATCCAGCCCATAAGTCCCAGCGGAGAGTTGGAGGATACGGTTGCGGAAGTGAGAACCCTCGGGGTCGAGGAGAGCTTTACCGGCGAACACGCCGATGTCGGAGGTGGAGATAAGGTCGACTTTTTGGAGGCCGAAGGAGGAGAAGAAGAGGCCAGTGACGAAGAATCGGGTGAGGCCCGCTTCGGTCGGGAAGTTGTCCTATACCAATATCAGTTGATGCTATTATATGATACGGGAAGACTCACCATGAAGGCTACAGGACGGAGGATGGTGAATGGAATACCAGACGAAACGAGATACTGCTCGACCTGCTCCATCCCTCAGCTGCAGTCAACCGAGAGTATGTGCAAAACTCGCCTTGTACTTTGACCTAAAGTGAGGCACTCCAGTAGCAACATCGGCATCTCCAACACTAGTATACACCAAGTGCTTCACTCCCGCCTCCAAAGCGGCATCGACAAAAGTAATACCTTGCTGAGCTTCTTTCTCCTCTCCGACCGCCGCGTCAGTCACAAAGAACGCTCTGTCAATACCTTGAAGAGCCTTGACCAAAGACGTTCTGTCGCCAAGATCGGCTTGGATGGGTGTAGCACCTTGAGCGACGAGCTTCTGGGAGGAGCCCGAGTCGGGGTTTCGCGTGATGAAAGTGAGGTTGAGATCGGGATTGGTTGACTGTGCTGCGAGGACGGCGGCTGCTGCCTTGCCTCCCTGCTTACCTGTAGCGCCGACGACGAGAATGTTTGGGGACATAGTGACAGATATGGAAATGCAAATGGACAAGAGATGGAGATGGGTTGGAGATGGGCCCTGTACGGTGCAGCGATGGCTCATCCGTGTCATGGGTGACGCAATAAGCCACCCAGGAACAGCAGCAGAGATTGTAGTGGCCGTCGGCCTTACGTAACTTTTATCTTGCGCTGACTGTCAGCAGCAAATGCCCAACAGTTCCCATGGACAATGGCCGGTCACGATTGCTCAGCCAGCTCCGGGGGGTATATAATGCTGCGGCCATGCCCACATATGCATACATCCCACCATGTCGTCGAACAACATCCTCATCGTCGGGGCCACCGGCAAACAAGGCGGCGCTACCGTCCAGGCCCTCCTCTCCCAGATCGCATCTCTCTCTCCCAGTCTCACTCCCCCCACCATCCGCTTCACCACTCGGTACCCTTCCTCCTTCGCTGCCCGAGTCCTAGCTTCATCGGGTGCCTCCTCCATTCGCGCCAACCTCAGCTCCATCGACGATCTTCATTCGGCCTTGCAAGGCATCGATGTCGCCTTTCTAGTCACAGACAAAGATGCCGGGGAAGAAAAGGAAGTTGAAATGGGTATTCGCTTTGTTGAAGCTGCGAAAAAAGTCGGCGTCAAGCATGTGGTATTCGCGAGTGTCGCCGATGCGGATGTGGCGAGCACAGTGCCTCACTTCCGTACCAAATACAAGGTGCGTCTTGTCGATCTTGCCTTGGGGATATCATGAAGCTTATGCCATCCTCAGATCGAACAAGCTCTGATCGAGTCCGGCCTTTCTCACACTATCCTTCGGCCAGTGGTATTCATGGTACGTTTCCTTCACAAACTCTCATCCAGTCAGAAAAACTAATGAATTCATAGGAAAACTTTCCCCAAACCCCATCCGCCTCCCAAACAATCAACGTCAGCGCCTTCTTCTCCACTTTCGTCCCCAAACCCCTCGCCCTTATCTCCACCACCGACATCGGCCACTTCGCCGCTCTCGCGCTCCTAAATCCCACCTCCCCCCCTTTCAAAAACCAAATCATCCCCCTCTCTTCTGGCGTTTATAGCGTCAAAGATTGGGAGAAGGCGACAGAAAAGGCTGGGAGGAAAGGATGGTTCTGGACGCAAGGGGCGGTGGGGAAGGTTGTGTGGTTGACTCTGTCGGTGACTTATAGGAGGATGACTGAATGTGAGTTGGGGCTTGTCCCGCCGGTACCTCGCGACGACATAACATGACGAATTGCTGATGATCATCGTTCGCTGCAGATTTCAGAGATCGAGGCTTTACTAGGATTGACGTTGCAGGTCTAAAGAAGACTCATCCGGGGTTACTCTCGCTCGAAGACTGGATTCAGCAGGGAGTTGAGGGGAAGGCCAAGTAGCTTACCAACTAATGAATTGACGTGATCTATAGGGGAAATTAATGTATGAACTCAAAGTACTCAAAGACGTGTTTCGCCTGATACATACATAATACTGGATTTAATATGGCACTAAGCGTTCATCCTGCCCCGTTACAGCCATAGGGCCTGATGGTATCCTCGCCTTCGACGATCACCAGAACAAGCGACCGCTGACTCGTTTATCCAGTCATCAATTCAACTTTCCTTTGCCGCCTCTGCACTCTCTCCGCGGGGCAAGTCTCGGAGCGGGTTCATATACAACGTTATACTGTGGGGGGCAAATCCGAGCAGCTATGCACTGACGAGACTATAAAGGAGCTCCAACAAGGGCTCCATGGCCCATTGTTCTCAATGTATGCTCCGTTCGAGCCCTCGACCAGAGTCCAACCAATGCCGACTATAAAGCAGCTGGCGGAATGTCGAGTCCCATCACGCCACAAATCTCAACAAAATCGCTTTCTCTTCCCACCAATTGAAGTCCGATTGACAACAACGATCTCACACGACACAAAAAGGACACAATGGCAGACACCATGGAAATCGACTCATTAACATTTGACCGATCGATGAATTTGAACAACCAAGAGGAGGATAAAGAAAATCAACGTCGTTATGGTGGTGACTCGTCCGACCAGGAGATGTCGAGCGATGATTCAATGGGGGAGGACGACATGAGTCACGGCGGGAGGCAAAGAGGCGGCCGTTCAACAGCGCCTTCCCCCACCAACGAGCTTCCTCAACCAAGCTTCAACAATTCTCAATTCACATACACACAGGGCCCATCTGTAACGCTTCTCTTCTCCTCCAACGAGACTGGATGCACTTCTCGACACGACGAACAAGTCATCCAATCTTTGACACTTTTCCAATCTACACCATCCGAGCCTGCCGAGGAGGAGGAGACGAGCGTCATGGACAGGTACTACAGCTTTAACGACTACGATGTGGGTCACACGATATCGGTTCACGATGCGATAGGATCACAGCTTGAACCGGCTACAGAGAAGAAAGCTAGCGATTTAGCAAAAATGGTTGAGAGCGCTCTGATTAGCCTCGGAGGACAAAGCTTGGTGGATGATGTGACTTTGGATATGAGGAGCGGATATGGTCAGTAGAGATATCAAGCGACTAGTAGTGCCGAACGAATGAAAGGTCTATACAGAATGAGATCTCAAGATCATTTTTTCCATGGTGCGGGGCGATGTCTCTCAGACGAATGTAGTCTTTCAGCTCAATGATGTACCTTTTGAATGATGACTTTCATAATGGAAGGAGGTCTATCGAGGCATATAAAGTCACATTCCCATATGCTGAGCTATTCGCTGTCATTCAACACCAGCTGAGAGGCACAAGCCAACCTCCGGTGCCGAAGCCATACTTGTTGTCGTACTGTTGTCTCGTTTTTGAGAGAGCTTCAGTCTTCCATGTGCGATACTCCACCATGTCATACACCTGACTACTGTTCGCGATAAGGGGCATCGAATTAGCGTCGCTATTTAGACTTTCAATGCCGATACGTTCACACGTATGTCCAAGACCAGATTGCAATAGAAGTCTAGACAGGAAGTCTTCCGTATGTTCTCAATGGAAGTGAGCGGGATCGTGGACGGGGTATACAATGTCTTTCTCCTTCCCATGGCCTCTATCCGCCAACCATCACGCTCTGTATACAAATTTCTTTTCATATACAGTCTGCAGTAGCGATCATTCCAGATATCTATTCATTCCAGCCGCAACTACAGTTATGTCGACATCCAATTCAGACGATAGAAATCCTACCGCCTCTTCACCAAGCTCTGAAGGCGACGAGTCTTCCCGCCGCTCACCAGATGCCGCCCATCCACATATACGAGTTGTGATTACCAATGTGAGTCATATTTATGATGCACGCGGCCTAGTAGAGTGTGTACATGCTGATGAACCCATAGCGCCCGGGGAGTACAGACGTATCTTCATCTCAGTACTCCAGTCGCCGATCTAGTGGCAGTGGTCTGAGCTTCGAGCCCATGCCCGAGTTTGAGCCTCTTACCGTTGATGCAGAGCCTCTCTCCCCCGGTATCTTGACTCCCACATTGGGGCCTGAAGTCGGAATATTTCGCAGCGGGAGTGTAGCCACAGATAGTGACGACTTTCATTCGTCCCCGCGAGGCAGTCGACCCATATATGAGGATACGGGCTCGCAACAGCCACCACAGCCCGCGCGGCCCATAAGTAAGCTTCACTGCTAGGCTGTGATCTTGCACTCGGGCGAAAGTGCTATACTGACACCATAAACCCATTTTGCAGTGTCCAACCCTCGACCCATGGTAACACTTTACTTTCAACGACAGGGTCAAGGCGCCCAAGACTTCAGTCTCGCGCTGGTTTCTCGAGAGGACTACGCACCCTCAGACGAAGATGACTATTGAATACTGTTGTACAGTCTTCAGCACCTATCACCTGGTAA